GTATCTGAGCCAGACACCAAGTGATGTGCTAGTGAGAACGTTGGGCCTCCAAGGGGTGGTTACAAATAGTATCTGAGCCAGACACCGAGTGGTGTACTAGTGAGAACGTCGGGCTTCCAAAAGGGTGGTTACAAATGGTATCTGAGCCAGACACTAGGTGGGATGCTAGTGAGGACGTTGGGCTCCAAGGGGGTGGATTGTGAGATAGGAAACTGTAACAACTCAAGCTCACTACTAGTCAATATTGTCCTTTTTAGGCTTCCCCTTTCGAGCTTCCCTCAATGTTTTTAAAATGCATCTGTTAGGGAGAGGTTTCCACACTCTTATAAAGAATGCTTTGTTCTCCTCCCCCAACCGATGTGAGATCTCACTAAAACATTTCTTGTAAGGGTCTTGGAAATCTCTCACTAGCAAATGTGTTTCGTGAGCTTAACGATGATATATAACGGGTCAAAGTGGACAATATCTATTAGCGATGGGCTTGGATTGTTACGAATGATATGAGAGTCAGACACTGCGCGGTGTGACAGTGAGGACGTTGGCCCCTACAAGGGTTGTATTGTGAGATACGAAACATTATTATAAGGGTGTGGAAACCTCTTCTTAGCAGACGCGTTTAAAATCGTGAGCCTAACGTCTATATGTAACGAGTCAAAGCGGATATTATCGGCTAGTGGTGGGCTTAGGAGGTTGCAGAATTTGTCATAAATATTATATACATTTGAAAGCTTATGGACCATGTTCAAGGATTAACCCGGTAATTTATCAGGAAAAAAAATTATAAAATAATGTTAGTAAAAATTCATCTAAAACTTTTAACTTTATCAAATTACACTTTTACCCTTTAAATGATAATGATCTTCATATGTAAAATGGTCGATAAAAGTTTCGAGGACGATTGTTAGGAAACATGATGAATGAAGTTCAAAATTATATTTAAAACACTATGACCATCATGGTGATGAGATGAGGTCGGCTCCAATGACGGGTGGTGACGGTCGGTGATGGAGTGACCAATGGTGGCAATGATGATTGGCACCAACTGGCAGTGCTCATCTACGATAGTCGTGGTGGAGTGAAGGTGGAGACATTTAGGAAGGGGAGGAAGTGACACTCGACGAGTAAATAAGTGGTGGATGAATAAACTGAGACTCTATCTGAATGAGAGTGATCATGATGACAAAATGGTTAAGAAAGTTTTAAGAGATTTGAAAGTTATTATCTATATCAAGAAGGTGCACCTTCTTTTTCGGCCGCTCATTCATAATAACTTTATAGTTAAATGTGTTTTACTTAGAGTAATTCTATGAAATGACTCGGGTTGGTCTCTAGGGATAGTCTTCACTCTTAGAAGCAAGGAGCAAGTAGCTTGGTCCGAGTTTTCATGTATTAAAATGCACCACGTGAATATATTTTCAAAATTTACAAAGAGAATGCTAATATATATATATATTTTTTTTTAAAAAAAATCATCAATAGTAAACCTAAATTTGAAATTTATCGAAAGTACGAAAACAATATTAAAATTGAAAATTGACGTGATATTGACGTATTAAAATCGAAAGACCTATGTGACATCATTTTCAAATCAATTTTAACTTTATATTTGATTAAATTAGATAATACCATTTATTTCGACTAAAATAATAGTGTTTTTTTGTACAACAAACATGGTAACGACGGTTAAAACCAACTATAAAGTAATTAGATAGTTTGAGCTATGTTCATATTAACAACTCAAAAATGGTACTATAGCTAAACTGCGGGTTGGTGAACCAACGAGGATCTTCAAGGGGAGTGGATTGTGAGAAAAGAAACATTCTTAAGGGTGTGAAAAACTCTCCTTCAACAATTTTAAAATCATAAGGGGCTAAAACGGACAATATTTTTAAATAATGAACGGTTGTAATGGTTCAGGTCCACCGCTAGCAAACATTATCCTTTTTGGGCTTTCCCTTTCGGGTTTCTCCTCAAGGCTTTAAACGTTTCTGCTAGGGAGAGGTTTCCATACTCTTATAAATGGTGTTTTAGGGCCCAGCGTCCTCGCTGACACTCGTTCCTTTCTCCAATCGATGTGAGACCCTTACCAAGTCCACCCCCTTTCAGGGCCTAACGTCTTCGCTGACACTCATTCCTTTCTCCAATCGATGTGGGACCCTTACCAAATCCACCCGATTTTCATACTCTTATAAAGGTTGTTTCGTTCTTCTCTCCAATCGATGTGGGACATTACAATCCACCTCCCTTTAGGGCCCAGCGTCCTCGTTGGCACTCGTTCCTTTCTCCAATCGATGTGGGACCCTTACCAAATCCATCCCTCTTCAGGGTCCAGCGTTCTTACTGGCACACTGCCTCGTGTCTACCCCATTTGGAGAACAACCTCCTTGTCGACACATCGCCCGATGTCTAGTTCTGATACCATTTGTAACAGCTCAGGCTCATCGCTAGCAGATATTTTTCTCTTTTACCTTCTCCTCAAGGCTTTAAAACACGCTACGGAGAGGTTTCGAGATCCTTGTAAAGGGTGTTTCGTTCTCCTGCACAATCAATGTGGAACATCACACGATCGACTTGAATTTAATGATAAAATATGTGGGGAAGAAACAAAGGCAAGCAAAAACTATGCATAAAAACAAATAAGAAGAGGATTTGGAGAAGGAAACAAGTGAATGGGAGTTGAATAGAGTTGAGCCAACAAGTTTGCAGCCAAAAACGTCTTGAAAACATACCGACCGCCGTGCTTCCTATTTTGCCTCCAAAATACCAAACCCTTCTCCAATGTTCTTTATTTGTACCTTTTTTACCCCTTTCTTCCAAGATTCACATGTGGACCTCTCTCTCTATTATTACTCTCTTTATGGTACCCCCAAAGTTTGTATTATGTTTTTGAAAGTTTTGGGATTAGGGGTATTTTTGGAATTGGAAAAGATCGATGAGACTGGTCGAGTTCTACTGCGTTGGTTCGATTGATTTGAACTGTATTTTTAGGTTTGATCTAGTTTTCTCAAGGATTTAGAAAGTCGGTTCAAGTTGGCTTTTAGTCTCGTTTAAGTTGTTTTGATTTGAACTGTATTTTTAGGTTAGATCAGGTTTTCTCGAGTATTAAAGTGAAAAATGTAGAGGACGCTGTGTTCAACCTCTTAGAAAGTCACTTCAAACCGACACTTGTCTCGTTTGGATAAGATCTGCGTAAGTCGTTTTGATTGATTCAATTGGTCATGCTTTTCGCTGGTTTTTTTCAAGGTTGAAAAATAATTGCAGTTTGATTTGGCTACACTCGATTGTTTTGTATTTGTTGGTTTATTCAATTTTGTCGGTTTCGAATAATTTAGTTTACAAATATCTCGATCTCGATTTTCTTTTTCGTTTCCCATCTAAATTCAGTATGTCAGTTAGCAATGAGTTCGACCGACAATGCAAGTTCACCACTAGTAAATATTGTTCTCTTTAGGCTTTTCGGGTTTCTCCTCAAAGTTTTTAAAACGCGTCGGTTAGAGAGATGTTTCCACACTCTTATAAATAATGCTTCGTTTTTCTCCCCAACCGATGTAGGATCTCAATCCACCCCCTTCGAGACTCAACATTCTTGCTGACACTCGTTCCTCTTTCCAATCAATGTGGGATCTTATATAGCTTTAACAAAAGTTTATGTATTTTAAGGTTGAGCTATGCTCATATTGGCATATAAATTTCTTTAAGTACATAAAAACGATAATATGTTCAAACCCATCGAAAACCTTAAATTTAGCATAATCTCGAACCACTCGAGCCCCATCATCCTTCTTGATTTGATAGCATGATAGTTCCAATAATATATATATATATATATATATATATATATATATAAAGAATTGAAATGAAATACAAAGAAGAAGCTAAAAGGCAAAGGACAAAAAGAAAATTCAAAAAAAGGTAAGAGAAAAGGAAGACAATCCCTAAAACTAGAAGTCCTTTCTCTCCATCACTCACTAGGGAGCATCTTCTTCCATTCATCAAAACAAACAATAGCTCGGTAACCACGTGTTCGGTTTCTACTCAAATCTGAACTATGACCTAGCTCGGTTTTACTATGACTATTATGATTGAGGCTAAGTTTAGATTTTGAACTTCGCACATTATGATTGTGCTGCAGTATTGATATACTTAGATATACCGTAACATATGAGTTAACTTTCGGGTTGATTGGTGATTTAACATGGTACGAAATCAAAAAGCTTTGTGTGTCGATCCATTGTAATGTCCTTTTCTACCGTTTTAGGTCATTAGTATGTAGATACGCGAAGACAAGGTTACATTTATAGAAAAAAGTCGGGTGGCTAAAATTATTGGTTAAAAAAAAAAAAATAGTTATTTTTTCTATTTATTATTAATTAAAAAATAGTTATTTAAAAATTTTTATTTTTAATTGGTCATTTTTATTAAAAAATTGTAAAAAAATCATTATATATATATAATATTCTACAATATAATTTTTAAAAATTTAAAATTTAATTCTAAAACGTAGTCTTTTAACAATTAAAAAAATATATACATAATCGTCCGTTTATTTATTATTATTAAAGTCTCAAAATTAATTAATTATTTATTTTTATTATATTCTTTAGTCTCGAGTAAACAATGTTCTCCACTCTGTCACTCGTGAATCTCTTTTTTCAAGTGATGTTATTATCTCTCAAATTTTAACTTAATTAATTAAATATAAATATATTATTTAATTTATTAAATTTTAACTAATACAATTATAATTAATATTTTACATTATCTTTAATTATTTCTAATTAATTTATCCTTGTTCAATTATCTTTTTTACAATTAAATTAAATTGTTTAATTATCGCTAATTTATTTTGATTTGAATTGATTAATTAATTAATTATATTATATATTACATCGTTCTCTTGTATTTAATTTTAATTATAATTTTTATCAAAAGTCGTAAAAATAAATTACATATTAAAGTATTAAACAATTATTACATTTTTAATATTTTATATGCAATTATTTAATTTTAGCTTAACGAAATCCTTTGATTTGCTCAGTTCATTGATTATCACTCCGTTTTTGCAATCCATTGAGTACAAGAAAGGATTAAAGACGGTAGCGGAGGCAAAGGCGACCACTGGCGGCGATGGAGGAAACAGGAAAAATTTTCGAGTCAAAGACGTGAGAGGCATGAATTCTTTCACAAAATTTGCTGATGTGAGGTCAGGATGATGTTGTAGACCGTTGTTTTGGATTCTCCAAGGTTTCGATTGACGGTTAATCGTGTATTTAGGCATTTCAGCGCCGAACGCCGGAGCTACCTTCAGGTAGTAGTAGTAGTTGTTGTTTTTTTGGCGTTTTCCTCTGCTATCGCATCTATTTTCTTCCTATTTCTTTGGATTTTTATGTGATGAGCAACAGTTCTTCGTCGATTCTTTATTTTCTTCTTGAAGGTGTTGATAATTTATGCGATGATTTTGGTGCTGTTACTGTGATGTTTTCAAATTTAGCATTCTGAAGCAGATGCATCTTGGTAGTGAAACTGGTATAGATTATAGAGTGTACTTAGAGTTAACTATGGCGACAAGAGAATGAAAACAGCTGTACTAGACAGAGCTAAGAAAAAGAATGACAGGAAGAAGAATTGTGATTTCATCAACCACTACTGATTAAGTTGTAATTACAGACTCGATGCGCATAGAAACAGAAGTAATTGTAGCTCTTCTAATTTACTCCGTTATAGTGTACAGCCTTCGGCATGTGTTTACTTATGTTTCCACTACAGTTTGAAGATATGAGAATTCACCCATCATCCACACTACAAGTAGGAGATATTCTTTGCAAGTGTCATTATTGTCCTTCCATGGTGGCCTTCCACTTGAGCTTTTGCATATAGTGGCTGAAGCATTGCTAGGTACTCTAGTCTAGGTGTGGCTTCTGTGAAGGGAAGAAAACTTGTGTTCAAGAGACACCAAGTATGGGTCTAGTACTGGACTATGAATTAAGTATTCTGTAAATTTTTAAACATTGGGCTCTTAACCTTTCCTTCCTTTCTGTCTGTAGAAACATCATGCACAAATAGACTTGCCTGTAAGAACCATTGATGATCTATCTTAATTTCTCCGTATTGAATTTTTCTAATTGATTTAGTAACCGTTCCTAACCGTGTTTAGTTGGTTTCTAATTGAAGAGAGATTTTCATAGGTAAACTTTTTTTCTGCAAATTGAGCTTCTAACCCCAGAAGAGGTGCAATTTATACTTCATCTTTTGGATTCCCATGGAGAAAACATTTTTTTACTTGTATTGATACTATAGTTGACTCTAATTGAAACTAGATAGAACATTTTTTAGGGTGTCCATTCGGACTTTTAGGGCAAAAGTTTAATGGAAATATATTCCATATGTTTGGATTTATCTTGTTGGAGAAATTGTGATCTTATATTTTTCGGCTGATTCTTATCTTATTCGTTTATTAAATTTATCAACTTTGAACTTCACATGTACATCAAAAACTCATTTATAATCTAGATTCAAATAAGACCAGTAAACCTCCAATTAAGTTTATGAATGAAAGGAGGGAGCATGGGATATTTAGCATGTCTAGGTAGTTAGTTATATGGAATGGGTATCTTTGGTAAAAAAGAGTAGTATATGCCCCATCAAGTTCACAAGATAGTATATAATAAATGAGTGATCTTTAGGAGGCACTAAACTTCTTGGATGGAAATTTATGTTTTCTTTTATATGAGTTAGTTCTCAGAAACAGTAAAGGGAAGTTTATTGTTTGTTCTATGACGAGAGAGGAATTCATTTGTTTTAGTTGGAACTTGGACATGTATGTGGTGATGTAGGAAGAATTGATGTATGTATGAAAGTGTTAGTTGGATAATTGTTGAATAAACTTGATTTAATTGTAGAGGGGAACTTCGTAAATGGGCTGAAAATAGAGTTACTAGCTTTGTTATGGGTGCTCAAATCATTGGGCCAGTTAGATAAAATGGAGGCAACCCAATTAGTGAACCTTAATATTACGTTGGAATAGTGAGAAGGGTATGATTCCATAGCATATTGGCCTGCACGGGTGGAAATTTGTTTGGTCCGACTTTGCCTAGACACAAGTGATAACCGCTAAAACCAATGTCATATTAGTTGGACAACTGTAGAATAAACTTGATTTCATTGTGGAAGGGAACTTTGTAAATGGGATGAACATGGAGTTACTGACATGGTTATGGGTGCTCAAATCTTTGGCCAAGTCAGAAATGAAGGCAACCCAATTTAGTGGACCTTCATATGACGCTGGAATAGGGGGGGATGATTCTGTAGCATATTGGACTGGGCTGGAAATTTGTTTGGGTCAACTTTGCCTGAACACTCCTTTCTCTAACCACGTTGCATCAACGTTTGCTGCTATCTGGAAGAGTAAAATTCCAAAGAACGTCAATTTTTTTGTGTGGCATGTATTACATTGTATGGTTAACACTATAGATCAGATCAACGTCACTCTTCCTTGGTGATGACCCGCATTAGTGCATTCTTTGCAAACACTAGGAGGAGAACCTTCACCACTTACTGTAGGGTTGCCATTTTGTGTAGTCGATCTGAATTAGATGATTGAGCTATGTTGGTTTACAATTGACGTGGAGGAGCGATTGATATTCTATGATTGAGGAGGTGCTCTTGAGTTCGTCTTTTTGCAAGAAAGACAAAAGTGTTAGTGGCAAGCTAGTTCTTTTGCTGTTGATTGGGGTATTTGGATTGAGAGAAAGAACAAGGTTTTTAGAGAGGTGGAGAGATCGTGTGAGGATGTCTAGAAGAGGGATAGGTATAATGTCTCTCCATTTAGGCATCATTTAGTGGGCTCTTTTGTAATTTTGATCTTGATTTGATTTTGTTATATTGGAGGACCATTTTGTAGTTGGTTTTCATATCCTTTTTGCATACTTGTATTTTTGGTGGGCTGTTTTTTTGTATGCCCTTATATTTCTTTCATCTTTCTCCATGAAAGCTCAGTTTCTTATAAAAAAAAGGAAAGGACAAAAAAAAAAAAAGAAAAAAAAAATTGCCGAGCGCAAGTTGTTACTCCCATAAGAAATTCGCCTGCATAATAAAAGGTAATATGATGACCACTAAACCCAAAATTTTTAGCGGATGGGTTAATAATTTAATGAGGGTGCAAAGTTATGAAGCTGCCTTTTAGGACTTGTGAAGGCCACTATAAGTTCTTTGTCATTCTATTTAGCGTTTCCAAAGTACTGTCAACCTTAAGCCTACTGACCAAAATAAAGAAAGGAAGTTTTGTATAGAAAATGAATAAGTAGCGGAGTGCATGAAGTGTTGGGTGAGGGGGTGCAAAATGATCCTCCAAAATCCAAGCTATGCTCACTTGGCTGGCTATCTCCAAATTCCAAATACTACTAGACAATTTGTGATATATCATCATTCCGGTCAAGTTTAATACTTAGAAATTATATATAAATGAAATTGCATTAGCTATAACTGCAATTTGATCTACTAACGAATTGATGTTTGATGGAACCATTGGACCATTGGAGAAGCTGAGTTCTACTTCTTAGAATTTCTATCATTAAAGGTTTAATTGGAAATGATCATCACCTTCCTAGCTGTTTTACATATCAACTAATACTAGTTGTAACCAAAAGCTGCAGTTATTTTTGTTGTAACTAACAACGATATTGCTAACTATCTTCAATTGTAACAGTGATCATTGTGTGCACATGACGTTGTTGTACAAGAGTCTGAGTAGGAGAGTCCTACTTACATATGCAGCTATGAAAAGAAGAATCACAACAGATGCCCACCAGATTTTAGTGTCTCCACCTCTCAAATCCATTGATTTTCCTGATATTTGGACTAGTTTCAGCTTTTCTGATTATTCTCCCATCACAACATTGTATGGTACATCACCATTTCGCTTCAACCCTCCTCACATGTCATCTCCTTTTTCCCCAGTTCAAATCCAGATAGTGTCACCGTATAGGTTTATTATATTATTGTGTTCATTGAATACTTTCTTATCCGGGTGTGCTTGGTATCTGATGATCTAACGTTACTTGCAGATACCCCCCAGACTGCAACAGTAATTGATGGTAGGGCGATTGCTGAGGAAATTACATCAGGAATAACTAGTGAGGTGAGGAGGATGAAGAACTCTATTGGAAACGTTCCTGGCTTGGCTGTAATCATGGTCGGCCAAGGCAGGGACTCGCAGACTTATGTTCGCAAGAAACTAGGTGCATGTGAAGAAGCTGGAATCCAGTCGAAGATTTCTACTTTGCCTGATAACTGTACAGAAGATCAAGTTCTGAATGCTTTGTCATGTTTTCATGAAGATCCATCTATTCATGGTATACTTGTGCAGCTTCCTCTACCGCAAGTAATTTCTAAAACTGGATCATGATTAGATTTAGTTTTGCACGTTTCAATCTAAATACCACCAACATGATTGTGATGCTTATCTTCCTTGGTTTCCAGTTATTGAGGAAGTATTTTTCATCTATTATCATCTCCATGCGGCTTTTATTGTCTACCATACAGCTGTTTCAGATATGAGATGGTTCTTGTCTATAAAGTACTTCACAATATAAATTAAACAAAGATGTTTTGCAAATCCTGATTTGGTAATTCTTGTCTGGCATGGTAGTTTCTGTAGGCGACATGCTTTGTGAGATCCCACGTCGATTAGGAAGGAGAACGAAACATTTTTTATAAGGGCATGAAAACCTCTCCCCAGCAGATGTGTTTTAAAAACCTTGAAAGAAAGTCCAAAAGGAAAAGCCCAAAGAGGACGATACCTGCTGGCGGTGGGCTTGGGTCGTTACATGTTTTGCTATAAACATGAATTTAGAAATCATTGGGTTTCTTTTGGGACATGCATGGAGACTAACAATTCAATTCTGTGGAACAGCATTTGGATGAGGGGAAAATCCTGAACTCTGTGCAACTAGAAAAAGATGTCGATGGCTTTCATCCAATTAACATGGGGAATCTTGCTATGTGGGGTAGGGAACCACTTTTCTTACCCTGCACTCCCAAAGGCTGCATCGAGTTGTTGATCAGATCGGGTGTAGAAATCTCGGGGAAGAAGGCCGTGGTGATTGGAAGAAGTAACATTGTTGGATTGCCCACGTCCTTGCTATTGCAGGTCCACATTCACTTTCATGTCCAAATTTTCTTGTGCCACTTTGTTTGTTGTAAAATTATATTGGTACTGAAAAATGTTCAGTTTTCTGCAGAGGCACCATGCTATTGTCAGCGTTGTGCATGCATTTACTAGGAATCCTGAACAGATTACTCGCGAAGCTGACATAGTGGTTGCTGCTGCTGGAGTTCCTAATCTGGTTCGTGGTAGTTGGCTCAAACCTGGTGCAGTAGTTCTTGATGTGGGGACGAACCCAGTTAAGGTAATTAATTGAACTTTCTACCTTTTATGGATCCTTGAATTGAATTTACAAAGCGTTTTGATTTTCGTCCTTTCAACTTTATATAATTTTATAAATATGTCGATATGTAACTTCTCGACATATTTTCCATGCATAAAGTGGTGTTCGACTCTTTTGGCCTTGGCGACTAGATTGGTAAGAATACATAACCATTTAGTTTTTGGTTTTTGAAAATTAAGTTTATAAACAGAATAGTCCTCTATCGTTTTCTTTATTTTGTAATCTATTTTCACGGATGTTCTTAAATCCAAGCCAAGTTTTGAATAAACAAAAGTAGTTTTTTAGAAACGTGCTTTTATTTTTAGAAAATTCGACTAAAAATTCAAATGTTATAAGATAAAACTTAACAAAGAAGGTGCAAGAAAACAAGCAAAACTAACTGTGATGCATTATTTGATCGGTTTATAAGGTTTATAACGTGTTCACCACCATGGATTGACAGGATCCTAGCTGTGAGTATGGGCATCGACTAATTGGAGATGTTTGCTATGAAGAAGCATCAAGGGTAGCTTCTGCTATTACACCCGTTCCGGGCGGAGTTGGACCGGTGACAGTTGCTATGCTCTTACTTAACACGCTAGAATCAGCCAAACGAGCGTATAATTTTACCTAACTCGATGTTATTTCAACATGCAGTAGTTGCTATGCTCTCACTGACACTATAATCAGCCAAATGAGCGCAAAACTTTACCAAACTCGATGTTATTTCAACATGTGACAGTTACTATGCTCTTACTCAACACATTAGAATGAGCCAAACGAGTTATAACATTACCTAACTATTTTGACATGATGCAGTCGACCTTATAATGCAAAACCTATAGCACGGCGAGAAATCGACATGTGAAGCTTGTTATCAAGAGCAATTCATCTAAACTAGATTTTATTATGAGATCAGAAATGTGCAAGCAATTATCCTTATTTGCCGAACAAATGGACAAAACAGAGTATGTAGTTTTGTTCGAGTGATTTAAGGTAATGAGCAGAATGTTGTTGAACACGGAAGCGATGTCGCTCTTCTTAGACAGCCATAAGAGGGTATGAAGCATAATGGAATTCGGGTAGCAAAAGGACTGATACCACTAAGTGTAGTATCGATGTTGAACCTTTTATCGTTGCAAATAATTGATTATACAAGCAAACAGATCTCTAAGCAAGAGATCCTGAACCACTTTGGGGTCCAGTGTCCTCGCGGGCACTCGTGCCCTTCTCTAATCAATGTGAGATAGTGTCCTCGCACTTATTCCCTGTTTTAATTAAGGTGAGACTCCCAATCCATCTCTGTGGGATCCAATGTTGTTGCTGACACACCCCTAAAAAAATGTATATGTTGTTGCTAACACACCCGATTCCCATCTTGATACTCACAAAAATAATTGGAAATTTCTTAGGGATGGGGACGGGCAAAACTTTGTCATCCTCATCCTATCCTGTGGACATCTCTACGAATTTCTACTCCAGTTTTGAAATGTTTATGAAAGGTCAAGAATAATGTCATAACTTAAAAAAGAACCCGACATTACCGATATAAATTTGTAAGTATTATGATATGTATGCAAAATTAATTTATGATCAAAAGTGTAATGCCTAATAATGCTATTTCACATAATAAAAACATTTTTAAACCATTTGAAGAAATTATGTGTACCTAACAAATAGGAATATTCGACTAAAAAGAGACAAAAATCCGCATATTCCTAATTTCTATAAAAAGGCTTACATTTAAGATGCGGACACCTTTTCCTTTTAAATGCCCTTTCAGGTTGACTTATGTAAGCATCGGTTTAGTTGGTGACCTACATCGACTCGAACACGGTTTATGATCTAACCAAACTAAACCTAACCCAATCCAACTCAAGGGTTAGTTAAATTGTCGGGTTGTTTTTTTCTTCTTTTTAATAATTAAAATTTTATAAAATTGAAATATCAAACATTTACAACACGTCAAATATTCGAGTAGATTTGATTGACCCGACCAAAAAGTTACAATTGGCTGAATGGTACATTGTTAACATTATAAAAAAAAAAAAAAAACACTAGAGATTAGAATCTCGAGTCTCGTATATTCATAAACTAAAAACATTAAAATAAACCTACAGTTGCTTAATATGGTATCCGAGCCTCGTGATTGATGAAAATTTTTAAATGGAAACCAAACTCTAATACCATATAATGAAAATAAACGGAAACAACGGTTGGACCGACTAGAGAACTAACAAATTATGAGCTCTTTTACTTGCTTCACGGTGAGGCGTTCTAAGCTCTATCATTGGCAGGTTGTTAAGCGAGCCTGCGTAGAAATTATGCTGAATATTATATTTTATTTTTATATAAAAATATTATTAAATTTATTAGGACATTAAAATATTACTTATATTTTTTTTTTTGTCTCTATCTCCACAGCGTGTTCTATGACACAACATGTAGACCAAATGATTTTGACTTAAATCATAATTTATTTTTTATTATTTGTTAATCAAAATTATAATTTTTTATTATAGTTTCTTTATAATATTTTTTTATACATTCTAAAAATATATTTAAAAAGCTATTGAATTTTGAAATTAAAAAAATTATAAATTTAATATTTAAAAAATAAAATATTTATTAAATAGAATTCTAGAACTTTCCATTAAAATAATAGAGTGATGGTTTAGACTTTCAAGCTTTAAAATATATTATTATTATTAATATATATATATATATATATATATATATATATATNTTTTTTTTTTTTTTTTTTTTTTGTAAGGGATTATGAAACAATAATTCAAAAAATTCAATTAATTTAGTTCAAATAAATGATTTTTTTTAAATTCTAAGAGTAATACATTTTTTACTTGCATTATATGTATTTTGTTTTAATTCAATATTATAATTATTATTTTTCATTTATTATTATTAAGTTTTATTAAAAATAAAAAGAAATTGAATTTGTTTTTTTGCAGCTTTGCTGGGACGGATCGAATCGGAGTTTCCTTAGATAGTCACAGACCTACTGTTCGTCTTAAACTTTCGTATTCGATGGAGAAGACGCGAATAAAGGTATGGTCGTTTCCTGTTTTCTACTACGAACTGGAATCGTTTACCAATTAAATCAAATTAACTCGAACCTATCTAACTAAAAAATTTATGGTTGATTTGGGGTCGAGATTATTATTTTAATAAAAGCTTAAAAAAATTGATAATTATTTTAATAAAAGCTTAAAAAAATTGATAATTAGAAGAATTGAGAGTAAAAATAAGAAATTTATAATTTAATTAAAAAAGAAAAAGAAAAAGAAAAAGAAAAAGAAAAATAGTGACGTGTACTTGTAACTTGTAAGGCTGTGGTTCAATCCACAGTATTTCTAAATCAAACGGCACGAAATCCACTGCGTTCTAAAGGCATCTTTTTTCCCCTTTTTTGAGCATCTTCCATTTTCAATCCCTCTGTTCTTCCTTTATATACCGCATTCAGCTCGATTAGGGTTGGTCTTGTTCGGAAAAAAGTTGGGTTCTGGATTTTACCTCTCCCTCTGGTCTCTTGATTCGCTGCTGATTCTACATTCTTCGTAAGTTGTTTGTTCGATTTTGCTTTTGATTCATAGATTCGTTTCGCCCTTTTCTGTAATGTTGTTCTAATCTCGGATCTGGTTTTCCAGAGGAAATTTAATCGAAGATCGATGGGGAGTTCTGGATTCTCGTGGACATTGCCTGATCATCCTAAGCTTCCCAAGGATAAGACAGTGGCTCTTATTGTTTTAGATGGATGGGGTGAAGCTAATCCAGATCTCTACAATTGTATCCATGTCGCCGAAACTCCCACCATGGATTCCCTTAAGAAGGTAGGTTGATTTTATGGATTCGTTCTTATCGATTTATGTTTTGGGGATCCATTTCGTGTTTCCTGAAAAGAAATTGTGTTCGTCGAATTCATTCTTGAGGATCTTCCCATGCATGCAGATTTTGTAGATCGCATGTGATGCATGCGTTTGATCACGAATTTCTCTGGCGGTTTTACGATTTCTATGAATATATTGATGGATTATGTTCTGCTTCTCATAGGGCGCCCCCGAGCATTGGAGGCTGCTCAGGGCACATGGTAAGGCTGTAGGACTTCCTACTGAAGATGACATGGGAAACAGTGAGGTCGGACACAACGCGCTTGGTGCTGGACGTATTTTTGCTCAAGGGTGAGCTTATCTTATCATTGTTTTCATTGTTTTACGCAGTATACCGATTTGTCCCCTTGAGGACATCCGATAAATTACAACGACTGTGCGATGATAACATGCACAAACGGAGAAATGGTCCAAATTTCAGGGAAAAAAACGTCTTTAAACCAATAAGAATATGTATAATATATCCATTGTGATTATTAGGAACCGTTCAGAGAGATCCTTTCCGGAGTAGTTGACCCTTTTTTAATTTGAAAGAAAGCATGCATGGTTAAGGAAGCAAGGTTAGGCTGACCCTTGGCAAGATGTGGAGATAAGGAGTTCTTTAAATTGCGCCATGCATGTTTAAACTTAGTTATAAGCAATAGAACAGAAGAAAGAATTTGATCTTATGGCATGCCATTTTTTTTCTCCATTACTGAAACCTGAAATTAATTTGTTTTGAATGCAGTGCAAAGCTTGTTGACCTTGCTCTTGCCTCTGGAAAAATATATGAGGGAGAAGGATTCAAGTACATCAAGGAATCCTTTGCAACTGGCACTTTGCATCTTATAGGATTACTGAGTGATGGTGGAGTACACTCTAGGCTAGATCAGTTGCAGGTAAGCATTGAAATCTTCTCCAGTTTGTCATAATTCAGTCTTGATATAATTTAATTGTAAACCTTTTCCTCTTTGTAGTTGTTACTCAAAGGAGCAAGTGAGAATGGTGCTAAAAGAATCCGTGTCCATATACTTACCGATGGGCGTGATGTTTTGGATGGTTCGAGTGTGGGTTTTGTAGAGACTCTTGAAAATGACCTTGCCAAATTACGTGAGAATGGGGTTGATGCACAAATCGCATCTGGTGGTGGTCGTATGTATGTGACTATGGATCGTTATGAGGTACATCTTTGTTCGTGTAATCTTACTGATGGTTTGTTGTTGCTTCTTGATCACCGTAGCTGGAATCGGTTTACCTTCAAAAGGGGTTTTATTGATTCATTAAATTCTAAAAGTGGCTTCTGTTATTGTAGCTTTAAAGATGCGATGGTTATACATGATGTGTTATACTTGATCGGTATTATATAACGAATGAAAAATGATAGATAAAACAGTTTGATCAAAAGGATGCTAGTTTATATTTATTAAAAATTGATCAATTCCACTACCTTGTTGATTAAATTTTGCAATCACCATAGAAATTCAATGCATGAAGTTTTTAGACTGTTGGAGTGGTTATTGATATTATTTTAGAGGAAAGCATGTGTGATCAATTGTTTTTGTTTCAAATTATAGAATGACTGGGAAGTTGTGAAGCGTGGATGGGATGCACAAGTGCTTGGCGAAGCACCACACAAGTTCAAAAGTGCTCTTGAAGCTGTCAAGAAATTAAGAGAGGCACCGAAGGCAACTGATCAATATCTACCTCCATTTGTCATAGTTGACGATAGTGGGAAGTCTGTCGGCCCAATAGTGGATGGCGATGCTGTAGTTACCTTCAATTTTAGAGCAGATCGAATGACTATGGTTGCCAAAGCCCTTGAGTATGAAGATTTTGATAAATTTGACCGAGTTAGGGTCCCTAAAATTCGTTATGCTGGAATGCTTCAGTATGACGGTGAATTGAAGCTTCCAAGCCGATACCTTGTTTCTCCCCCAGAGATCGAGAGAACATCTGGGGAATATCTTGTGCACAATGGCGTTCGAACCTTTGCCTGCAGGTGAGAAATAGCCAAGTTATCATGCATTGTTTCTTTGGCTGGTACTAAGATCTTATTGCTAGATGCATCTGTTTATTTCTAGATTGATCGTTTATTACTATTTTTTAATGAAACATTACCTTTCATACTTGCCAAAATTTGATATGAACTATTTTTTTCCCTCTAAAACAGTGAGACCGTCAAGTTTGGTCATGTTACTTTCTTCTGGAACGGAAACCGGTCTGGATACTTCAACCCAGAAATGGAGGAATATGTGGAGATTCCTAGTGATTCTGGGATCACCTTTAATGTTCAACCAAAGATGAAGGC